ATTTTATGTATTTTTTCAGTTTTTTAAAAATTATGTATGCTCTTCTTTGTTTGAAATAAACTAACTAACAAAGAATAAATACTGTAGTTGATTGCTTCTTAATACCAACAATAAAGGGTCTTTGTAAAGAAGTGTTTCTGTGATTTTCTTTTCAATCAATCAATCAATCAAAGCTTTATTTATAAAGCGCCTTCCGCAACCCTGTCAGGAAGCCCAAAGCGCTGAACATGGTACAGTTGTAAGTAATTATACTGAATAAATCAACAATAAAAGAAATTCAAATTACAAAATACAAATTACAAAATACAAAATGGAAATTACAAGATAGATGAAACATTCCGGTAAAATACAAATGTGGATTGAGTGGATGGATTGAGTGTACCAATGAAAACTGTGGAATGGATTCAACATAATAGAGGGCCATAATCAAACATGTTCTGGAAACGCCAAGCGGAGGAGGTGTGTTTTTAGGTGATTCTTAAAGACTGGCAGAGAAGGGGACAGCCTAACTGAGGGTGGCAACTGGTTCCAGAGTAACGGTGCTAGGACTGAGAAAGCCCGGTCCCCACGGGTACGACACCTAGACCGAGGGACAGCGAGCAGGCCTTGGTCAGAGGAGCGCAGAGCGCGTGATGGGGAATGTCTGTTTAGGAGTGTGGCCAGATAGGGGGGAGCACCACCCTGGAAGAAATGATAAACAAAGACGAGGATTTTGAATTGTGAGCGATAGGAAATCGGAAGCCAGTGCAGGGAGGCCAGAACTGGACTGATGTGGTCCCGTTTCCTGGTCCCAGTCAGGAACCTGGCAGCGCTGTTCTGCACAACCTGTAGGCGACGCAGTGTTGACTGACACAACCCTGCATAGAGAGAGTTGCAGTAGTCAAGCCGAGAAATTACAAAGGCATGCAGTACCCGCTCCAGGTGGGCTCTCGACAGCATATGCTTGATTTTAGAAAGGCGTCTCAGTTGAAAGAAACTGGACCGGATCACAGAATTGATGTGAGCATCAAATTTAAGTCCTACATCAAGTTTCACCCCCAAACTGGTAACAACTGGTTTTGAGTATGGAGAAAGAGGGCCAAGATCAGCATAACGATTGGATTGGGTTGATTTTCTTACTCTTAGTCTTTCTACTTGACACAATAATCTGAAGATGATGTATAAAATGAGAAAAGAAGAAGAATCAGGTCTGAAAATTAGCAGTAGATGAACTAAATATGAAAAGGGAGAATTTAAGTAACAGGAGCAAATCCCACACAAACATGACAAAACACTTTTATGTTGGCTAGTTGCTCTTTTGGAATTATATTCTCAATGCCAACATTGTTTTATCTTACATGTGAAACTATTTTATCTTCAGACCCAATTCTTTAAGTTGGTTATGCCTCAAACCAGCTCTGGCTCATCCCTTGAGTTTAACGCTGACCACTGACGTGATAGTAAAGCATCCCAACAACGAAACGTTTCTCTTAAAATGTTCAGGTACAAAAACTAAAACTCAGAGAAACGAGACAACTAGGTGCTCATAAACACAATACATTCATTATATCTGATGGTGTTGTTTAAGTAATTTAAGAAAGTAAATGAATGACCAGCTTCAGACACATTAGCCGGCTAGCCTATCGATGCAGCGGTGCTAACAGCATTAGCTAACAAACTTACCGAAGTCATAAAGCGAATCCAGGACTTGTTCAAGATACAAAAAGTCTTCATCTTCTTCCTTGTTTGAGTTCGAGCTCATTCTAAACTATATGGACTTGACAGACATTTAAAGATTAAAAGCCTTCGGTTACTAACAAAGTCTGTATAAACGACAACAAACCGTGACCTCACGTGTGCAACACAACAGTTTTGACCCTTTGCGGACACCGTATGAATAGTAGTAGTGCGGAAGTGTCAAAGACATGTCAGCTAACACGCCCATGTGAAGTTGTGCAGCTGTTGCTATCGACTAAAAATCTACTACCAAGAGGCAAGAGAGCCGAAACATTCTCTCGGAAACAATTTCGCCGGATGTAGCACTCCTGTATTTAAATATTAGGTCTAAGAATGGCGTCCAAAGCTGTTTATTTGGTATGTATGTTGTTTTCAGCTGGAGTAGCTAACTGCTCAGTAAAACTGAACATTTGACATTTAATTCACACAAATAAAAACTGAATGCATGTTTGACTTTTAGCTTAGCGTTTAAATGTAGTAATTTATTAATTGAATGTTGAAAAATGAAGTCACGTGGCGTTTCTAATTGTGATTCTCAGTTTGGTTCTACAACTAAAAGTTGTAGATTTCAGTTCTTGTCAGTTACAGTTTATTTTCAAAGGTGTTTCGTGCAACGCATGATGTGCAATTTTTATACAATTTTTATGGTCTAGCGTACAAAATAACTTAGATTTTAATGCGTAAGGAAATGTAGTACATTTGGTTTTTTGTAAATAACACAAAATCCTTTTAATTCTACCATCTTCAGGAAAAGAAAAAGCATAAATGTATTTTTAAAGACATAAATCAATGTTTTCTTCTGCACAATTTTGGATTTTTTATGTTTTTCTCATTAACATAATAGTTTGATGTTAGTTTCTACTTTTAGAACCTGTAATTGTACCACTTTTCTGAAAAAGGCAGAAGCTTTCAGAGCAGTGACAGAAGACTCAATATTTCATTAGAACATAAAATAAAATCACAGTTTTTCTCTTATTAGCATAGAGATCCTATGCTGAAGAAACGAGATGACTTTGAAGACATTCTGGAGGAGAGGAGACACTCCAGTGACCTGAGATACGCCCTCAAATGTTACACTCCTGTCCTGTATAAAGGATTATCTCCCTGCAGAGCCAGTGAGCTCAAGAGCATGGTGCTGCTGTCTGATCAGCTGCAATATGTCATCAATCAGGTGAATTAACCTCTTTTTAAAGCCAATTTTGCCTTCCAGATTGAAATGAAGTTTTCTGCAGACGCGCCACATATCTGCTTTTTCAAAATTGGCCCCGAGTAAAAGTTTTCGTCTGTTTGTTTCTGATGTTTTAGGTTTCCAAAGAGATGGGTAGGACAGCAGAAGAGGTCCAGGCGGAGGCGTCGACCATCTTAGATGAGATGGCTCACCGTTTACAAATCAGCACAGTTCGCTTCTTCGCCTTCACTCTCAGCAAAATCTTTAAAACCTTATTCCGGAGCATCTGTGTCAACGAGGAAGGCATTCAGAGAGTGAGCTTACGGCACAAGCAGACACACAGAGAAAATTACTGCCAGGCCAAACAAGTGTAACATGTTTCTCTGCTGTTTTCAGCTCCAGCAGGCCATCCACGAACACCCTGTGATCCTTCTACCGAGTCACCGCAGCTACATGGACTTCCTGCTGATGTCATACGTCCTGTACACATATGATCTGTCTGTGCCAGTCATTGCAGCCGGCATGGGTGAGAAAACAGGTTTTCCTGGCATTCACACAGTAGAATACCTACTTGAATAAATGCATCATTGGAGTATTTCCCTGCAGACTTCATGGGGATGAAGATTGTCGGGGAGATGCTGCGAATGTCTGGAGCTTTTTTTATTCGTAGGTCGTTTGGTGGAGACAAGCTGTACTGGGCGGTTTTCTCTGAGTATGTTCAGATCATGGTGAAGGTAAAGATGCCGTTTGTTACACCTGAGACATTCTATGGTCACTTGATTGATTTTAGTTTGCAATCTAATCTTTACTTTTACTGGATTTCTTTCTCCAGAGTGGATTTGCACCTGTTGAATTTTTCTTGGAGGGCACCAGAAGCCGAACGGCCAAATCTTTAACTCCAAAATTAGGTCAGTGACCACGAGACGCGTTTTTGTTTTTGAGCACCAGCTGATTTATGACACAGGTGCTGTAGGTGTACTTGTTTTGTTATTTTTTATATTTATTGACTTTTTCCAAAAGTCTGTCTGATGGATGTCTGTCTGACGGAAGACTTAAATTAACCTAATTACTTTGTTTTTTTCTTCCACTGAACCAAACTTTCTCATTTTTAAGGCTTTAAAATAGTTTTTCTAAGTTTAACCAAACATAGACTCAGTTTTGTCCAATGCTGTCCTTTTTGATAAAAAACAAATGAGAAGACTAATGATATAACAAAGAAAATTAAACTAAGGTCGGGAATTGATTTAAATAAATTAACTAATTAATCGCAAATCTGAAAAAAATTAATCGCAATTAATTATAATTTTGTTCCAGAAAAAGCAAGCAATAAACATGCAAAATTATACAAGAGAGGTTCATTTTATTTAGAAAGTGCATAACTTGTTGAAGTGTGTAAATCACTGAATACTGACTTTAACAGAGAATAACCTAAAATCAAATCCAGTTTCTGTTCAAAAACATTGTTTGAAAAAGTCTATTGTGTAAACGATGAACAGGAAATAAATGTAGCACGGTTTGCTCATGTTATTCAATGTAAATGTCATTTTCCACAGCATCAGTTGAACTAGGATTGCCAACTCCACAATAAATAAATAAGGGACACCTCACTGGCATGGCCCCCAAAAGCTTTGATACGGCCCTGGGTGGGACGGAGTTTTGAAGGTGATCTGAATTGTATGGAATATATGAATATTATGAGCTTATAAGTAATATTTACTTTATAACGGTAAAACTTGTAGTGGGATAAATGTACCTACATTTTCCTTTCCAAGCTCTTTGTTTTGTTTTGACTCTTATCCTGTCCTGTCTGTCTCTGGTCCTGCGTCTGCCCCAGGGAGATGCAGGATCTAGTTCTGTAGAAAAAACGCTACCTGGCCACGGCCGTGGAGCACAGGTGATGAGCGCAGCAGCGATGCGCGTCAGCCACGAATAAAAGACAGAAAGTACCAAAGCAGTTATGAACGATCGTGTGTTAAATATATTTTGGTGGCGCCGCTTTGAGAATGTTACTGTGGCTGTGCGCAAGATGCAGATGCCGGTGGAGCGCATGAGCGCTCTGCCTCTGTTCATCTTTACTGAAGAGAATCTGCGATGCTGAGAGTCTATAATGTGGGTAGAAACTTGATCTTTTTTTGGGTTCAGTTGATGACGGTTTAGCAATATTGTCCAGGGGGAAATACGGAGACATTTTGGAGAATGGTGGCTCTGGGTTGGAGAGATGGTCAAATGAATTGTGCCATTTACTTTTAACACGTTAAAATAACAAAATTAACGCAAATAATTAACTCGCTAATTTTCCCGGCCCTAAATTAAACACAGAGGATGTCTATTTCATTTATGTATTTTTCATTGAAAGCTACATAGATTTGCACTGGACCATGTAAGACTAAATAAAATAAAATCCAAATAAAATCCACTTCTTTATATTTTGTTGTATAATGTTGATGGGTTCAGATTAAAACAAAACCTTTAATTAAAACTAATGTTCTTATATCATCAAATCTTACCTAACAGTACCAGTAAACATTAAAGACGGACTACTGAATAATATTTATATCATGATATTTATCGATATCGACTGATAAGATCAATATCGCGATCACATTTTTTCTCCACATGGCCAAGCCCTATTCGGGGCAAGTCATTCAGAATTTGATTGTTTTTATGTTTGTGTTCCACTCCAGGTCTGCTGAACATCGTCATAGATCCATTCCTTAAAGGGGAGGTGTTTGACATAAGTCTGGTTCCGGTCAGCATCAGCTATGAGAGAGTTCTGGAGGAGGCGCTTTATGCCAGGGAGCTGCTGGGCGTACCGAAGCCCAAAGAGTCCACCTCAGTGAGTTAATTCAACATCTGAGCTGCCGGTTTAAAATCTGTGAAGACGGATCTGAAACCTGAAGAAGCGTCTTTGCTGCACCTTCTCAGTGGCCTAGTGGTAGAGTCCACCCTAGGACTGGAAGATCAGGGTTCAAATCATACCAAAGACTTTAATAATGGGAGCCAGTGCCTCCCTGCTTGACACTCAGCTTTCAGTGGTTGGATTGGGTGGGTTAAACCACCAAATGGTTCCCGAACACAGCCACTGCTGCCTCCCACAGTGGAGAAGCTATAATCTCACCAGTGTGTGAGGATGACTGATGGGACTTTAACTTAACTGAAAGAGACTATGTGTAGTTGTTACCATTAAATTATGTTTCCTTCTACGGGAGGACAAAACACATTTACTGATTTGTAACTCTTAAATGTTGTTTTACACATTTACCTCTTCGCTTGTTGCCAGTGATGGAAGGGAGTCTGATGTTCTTGTTATTTTGCTTAAGTTTGCACTCCTCTGAGCTTTTTGACCCTAATGGGCATCCATTGGCAAGGTCTTACTCTAACACAAAAATACTGCTTGCAACGATTTAGGTATCTACTGCCCCCTATCGCCAGGAAAAATACACACTGTCACTTTAAAGGATGACCGTTTCTGAAGGGGAGCTTCTCTTGTTTGTGTTTTTGCTTTACAGGGTTTGTTTAAAGCCAGGAAAGTCCTGAGTGAAGACTACGGCAGCATTCACATTTATTTTGGTCAACCCGTGTCTGTCAGAGCATTAGCTGAAGGCAAAGTTAACCGCTGCCAGTTCAACCTGACGCCGAGGTATGATACGCCTCATATGTTTATAAATGATCACATTTATTTATCTAATTTCTGTTCAGGTGTCATTATTGGTAAAGTCAGTGTTCAGAAAGGTCAAAGGGGACAGATTATGCAATTTTCATCTTTTGATTCTTTTTGTGCTGCCATGTGGGTCTTTACTGCATCTTTAAACACTCCAAACATGGAAAAAAATCCACCAATTTGTTTTCTGTCAGTGTTTGGTTTTAGGAATTATGTGCCGGAAACAAGCCATTTCAAAAAGTCCCCATTTGTGATGTCACAAACAGGAAAAGCAGAATAGAACCACCTCTCACGTGCAGCGGCTCTACTCCGATTCCCTCCCAGATATCGGAGCTTGTGTAAACACTCTAAATGGCATGTTAGATTTCTAATAACTATAGGAGCTGTGTTCATAAGTAGGGAGGCAGGTTTAGGACCCTAACCCCGGTGCATCTGGGCAGGTTTGAGGAACAACAAACTGTTTTAACATTTAACTATTTTATTTTCAGACACATCCCCAGGAAGCCCGGGGAGGAAATCCAAAGCTTTGTCAACGACTTGGCCTACAGGCTGGTCCGATCTCAGGAAGAGAACATGGTCCTGACGCCATGGGTCCTTCTAGCCTTCTTGCTGCTCCAGAACCAGGCTGTGGGGAACGAGCGGGGGATGTCGTTGGATGAGCTGACCGAACAAGCTGCGTGGGTCCGAGACCTCTCCCGGCAGTTTGGGGCTTTCCTTCACTGGCCTGGTACAGTACTGTCAGTGTTGCTGAGTGGGACAATAGAGAGTCTGTGTGCTGGAGGGGGCGACAAACAAGATGTTCTGTGTTAAAAACACTAGAAATCAGAATAATGGCAAAAAAATAATAACGTAATGATTTAGTTTTTATTATTTAGAGGTAAATGCGTCCCAGTATTTTGGCTAACTGATCTAAACTTTCATGTTTCACTCCTTTGGGTCAGCCCGGTCAGTCCTAGTTCTCATGTAGATAGCAGGAAAACATCTTCTACGCTCCCTAAGTGTAAATCTTCTTGTTTTCAGACCAGCTTCCTCCCTCCAAGGTGGTCTCCTCTAGTCTCTCACTTCACCGAGGTCTGGTGAGGATCTCCGATGGACGAGTCCAGCTGGCTTTAGGTCAAGGTATGTTCTTAGATTTTAAATTTGCAGAATGCCCCCAATAAAAGGATCAAACACAGGCTTTTCTTTTGTTCTCTACTTGAATCAGAGATGCCCCACAGCGCCATGACATCAGAGGAGGAGCTCTTGAACCGGGCGGTCGTCATCCTCTCCTGTGCCTCCTACAGGAACCAGGCGCTTCACCTCTTCATCCGGCCGGCGCTGCTCGCCGCGGCCATCCAGGCAGCGTCTTCTAACAAGAAACGTAAGATTGACGCTCTGCAGCTTCTGTCATCTAAGGGATGCAAAAGAAGCCACTGATTGGTTGCTTAAATAAACCCCATTTTGGGTCCTAAATTTTAACAAAGTAGCCTGAGATGCATTTATCTAAGCATTATGACGTGTGTGTTTTCCAGAGGAGGTTTACAACAGCTTCAGCTTTCTGTGGAACATGTTTTCCAATGAGTTCATCCTCTGTCCAGGTGCTGCTGTGCAGGTAAAGAACCTTTGCTGTTAGCAGGTCAGCATAAATGCCCTTTATGTGCATTCTTACTTAGTTTGAATTTTTTTAGGACTTTGAGGAGGCCTGTTACCTGCTGGTGAAGAGTGGCGCTCTGCAGATAAGCCAGCAGGAGATTCTGGTTTCAGGGAGAGGACACAGGACACTCGCCTTCCTCGCAAATATCCTAGATCCCTTTTTAGAAGGATATCAGGTGAGGAAAGTGTAGTTGTGAGCTCAGTGTGCATGTTTAGGCAACATCCAAATGCATACTTATAAAATAGATTATTTTCCTAATAAAAAGGTGAACATGCTGATGTAGATTATTGCCTAATTTTTCCTTTTGAGTTGAGTTTTTTTGCAGATGTAATTCTAACATCTGGTGCCAGTGGCTGAAATGTCTGAGTGCAAATTTCCAATAGAGGGCGCTGTTGAGCTGTCATAAGTCTCAAGTTGGGCTGAGAAGGCCAGTGTGATGGAGTCTGGACATTTTAGGGCAGGGCTATTCAATTCCGCTCCTGGAGGGCCGGTCTCTAGCATGTTTTGGTTTTAACTCTGCGTCAACACACCTGATTTCAATTAGTAGGTGATTAACTGGCTTCTGCAGAGCCTGATGAGCTACTGCACAGGTGATTCAACCACTGAATCTAGTGTGTTGGACCAGAGAAACCACTAAAACGTGCTGGAGGCCAGAACCTGAATAGCCCTGTTTTAGGGTTTTTAGCAACGGCTGAAGTGAACCTGGGGTCACAGACCCTGCTCATATTATAATGCATCTTTAAGGACGACATGTTCTACTAGTTATAATAGTTCTGTGGTCCATACAAAACATGTTTATGAAGTCCCTTGCAATTAATCCCTCTCATGTGAAATGAGTTTCAATACCTTCCAGAATGAGTCTGTTCTCTGCTGCTTTAAAAAACAAGCTGTTGCCGGCCACTCTCACCTCTCCCCTGATTGGCTGCTCTGAGGTGAAGAGCTTGGCTAACAGGGATATCGGGTGTTTTAAACCCACCTGAAGAACGTTCTCAATCTAGTTGATCTGTGAGAAAACAGACAATTTTAGGAGGGCTTGGCGAATAAAACAAAATTGCAAACAAATACGATATTTTCTGACTAAATTGCGTTTTGCAAACATGCCACACACCCTACGTCACCTGGCCAGGCGAAACATTCAGTGTTCTTCCAACTGAAAATGTGCATTTTGCTGGCGACCATTGCTGTAAAGGTAGTGGTTTGTTGCCTTGTAGGTCTGACTTTAGCCTTATGTCGCATTTCTCTATCACCCTGTAAAAGACGTTAATTGTACTTGGGTGGAGTTCCTCAGGGAGGATGGTTTGGTACCATTCTTTATTATCTGATATTTTGATGACCAAACTGCGAATGAGTCTGATCCCTTGGCTGAGAAGCTACCCAGAGGCAGGACTCAGTGTCTTCACCTTAGTCCCCAGCAGTCCAGTCCCTGGACATTTAGCCGAAAATCAGTCTGTCTCTGATATTTGTGGGCGACGGTGGCATAGGAGTTAAGTGCTCGCCCTGTAATCGTAAGGTTGCAGGTTCGAGCCCCGCTCAGGCTGTCGCTGTCGTTGTGTCCTTGGGCAAGACACTTAACCCACCTTGCCTGCTGTTGGTGGTTGGAGGGACCGGTGGCGCCTGTGCTCGGCAGCCTCGCCTCTGTCAGCTGTGGCTACATCGTAGCTCATCCCCACCAGTGTGTGAATGGGTGAATGACTGGTTGTGTTGTAAAGCGCCTTGGGGGTTCCAGGACTCTAGAAGGCGCTGTATCAGGGGTGTCCAATCCTGGTCCTAGAGGGCCGGTGTCCTGCATGTTTTAGTTTGAACTGTTTCATCACACCTGATTTCAATCAGCAGCTAATTAACAGGCTTCTGCAGAGCCTGATGAGCTGCTGCACAGGTGTTTCAACCACTGAATCAAGTCTGTTGGAGTAGAAAAACCACAAAACCTGCTGGATACCGGCCCTCCAGGACCAGGATTGGACACCCCTGCGCTATATCAAATACAGGCCATTTACCATTTTCTGGAAGAGACATAACTTCTTTGCTACTCGTCTTGACACCAGGTTGTTTTCAGTAGCGCCAATGCACTCACATCTGTTTATGTCCCAGAGGGACTTTATCATTCTGTAAAATTAATATGCTCACCCATATTTAGATTCTGGAGTTCATTCTTAAAACTTTAAAACCAAAGAATGCTCGTGTTCTTCTCTGAACTTGTGATGTCAAGCGGTACGGGGAGGTCTAAGTCGAGCCGGAAACTGTTTTATTAGCAAGGGCTGCTGCTTCTCCCGAGGACATCGTGTCCTCTCCTTTTACACTCCACTCAGCCACCACTCCAGAGCACTCCCAGTAGTGAGGATGCATCTGACACAGACGGTCTCCTGCCTGATGCATGCGTGAAAAGGCAGCAGCACGTGTGAAAACAGTTTTAATGGTTGTTTCTGTTTGTTCGGTCCAAGATGGTGTGCAGGTTTCTCTATGAGGCCACAGAGGGTCTGACGGAGAAGCAGTTTGTTCCTGCTGTCCGCAAGTTCATCATCAAACATCTCCTAACAGGTTTTTCTTTTCGGTTTTCATGCTTTGTCTCGTCTTTCACAGTGAGATGGTCGGTCTAAATATTCTGTGTGCCTTACAGGGAGACTGAGATATGCTGAAGTGTTGTCGTCGGACCTCCAGAAGAACGCTCTGGCAGCTTTGCTGAGGCTTGGAGCTGTACAGAAGCTCAAAGGGTGTGTTTGTTTTTAACACTGACGTGTCTCTGTGAGGTGTTTGACAGTAGCCAATGTTTTAGATGACGGTGAAAAAGCACTCCGTAGTCATGCAGAACAGCACATTTGCTTCCAGAATCAATTCAAGTGATTTGTTGTTCATATCAAATTAGTTTCAGATGTGAGAAAACCTGATTAAAACACGTTGTTCACTGAAACAGGGGAGTATTTTACTGCTAATAATAAACTCCCCTTTCCTTAGCTGCGAGTGTGACTGCTCCTCTGCTGAGAATAACCAATCACCTCTCTGTTTTGACTCCAGAGGAGAGGAGCAGGGAGCTTTAAAGGTCAACAAGGTGATGGTGAACTCTCTGGAAGACACTCTGGGTAAGAAACAAGCTGTCAGCCGGAGCCTAAACACGCACGGGTTGTTTTTAGACCTTGACAAGAATTCAAAATTAATCTTAGCGTCTGTTTCTCAAAGGAGGAAAGCTGCCCACTCAGAAGGCTCTCGTCGCTCGACTCTAATCCCGACTCGATGAGGTGGACAGTCTGTGCAGCATGGAGCGGTACCAGGTGTCCCTGTGATCCAAAAAGGCGGGACAACCTCACTCCTGCTTGTGAGAAATGGGACAAAAGAGCTGCATCTGGAGGCAACTTGACCCGTCTCACACCCTTAACGAGTCTTTTTTGTAAACCCGTGTTAACGCTGACGATGGCTGAAGCCTGTAAGCTCTACATAAGACACTTGTCGGAACTTCTGAATGGACCTTTTTCTATTTCTTCTGTGTTCTCTAACACTCAGACAGGCTTTTGTTGTCTCTGCTCGTCCATCTGTTTGGATTCTTTGGAGCACTTTTATGAATTTTTTCCTGCAGTGTGGTGTGGACCTATAACTTATAAAGCAGCATTTTTTTTATGATTAAGTGGAAAAATCCCAAATATTCACCATCTTACCTTCGCTTTGTTACATCTATATTTTAGTTCTGCCCAGATTGATGAGCTAACCACTAGTCTTTGACACAATACTAATGTAGATCTTTACTCAACTCCAAATTCCGTCATGTTAATGCAGTTTATACATAAATTAGACATGCACAATGCAAAAACGTTGCCTTGCAGTAACTTGCATCAAATTGTTTTGCTAGTAAATTCATGTAGCAGCTGCAGCTAGCTGTGGCACTTCCTGAGCCTGGAGCACTTCCTGTCGGAGTCTCTTAATATTTCTGCTCAAATGAGAAATAATCTGTCTATGAATTGACAAAAGCATGAACCTCAATGGCTTTTTCCTGCTAAGTTTTAAGGACTTGGTCCAATTCAGACTAGCATTAGCTCATCTCTCTGCTTTAAACTCGCCTGTTTCTCTAAACCTGTAAGAGTTTAGGATGTTAAATGTTCATTAGCTTTCCACAGAAACTATTTATTAATAATTTTATTTTAAAGGAAGCCGGTTCTAGCGTGCAACCCCCTCCCATCAGGTCTAATCCCAGATTCAGCAAGTTGCCAGTGCCGACACGTCGCCAAAGGAATGCTTTGTTTAATATTGTTAGTATGATTTTCTCATGTTGTCAGTCCAAATGTAGTTATTTAGACTTTTTTAGAAAGTAGAAAATGCTCAACTTTTGCTGCAAGGAAAGCGCTTAAAAACCCAATAATATAAAAAGTACAAAGGCAGGAGATTTGACTTTTAACACTCAGGAATTCACATTTGGAGTGAAAGTGTGAAAATCTTTCCTTATTAAGGTTATTAAGTTCAAACTAGATTAGATTACGGTTATTTTTTGTTGTTACTGAAACGAGTCGAGCTGCTTCGTTTGTTGAGTAAACATCACATTTAACTCGGAGGCAAAACAAGGTCAAAACGCCGGCAACCCTCCAGGCCGTGTTACCTCACACTCACAGTTCATTAATATTTTAACCACAGGAATTCTGGGTCTAGTGTCTTTATTTTCTCACAAATCAGCACCTCAGTCCTACTTAAAGGCCTACTTATGTTTAACATTTGGGAAAATCTCCGTTTTTATTGAGAAATCTGTGTAGAACAGTAGAAAATGTCTGTTACATGTATTAAGTGTGAACCAGAACGTTGATATGAAACAATAATTATTACAATGTCCTGAAGGCCAATGTTTTCATACATCTGTTTATTAAGACAAAATTGGTCCTTTGGAGAATCTCCCTTCATCTTCAATGAAAACAAATACAACTGTTTTTTATTTCCATTTGAGGTAAATAAAAATTTGGCAATTTTGAGTCTAAAATGTAAGATTTTTGACTTTCGAACTAAAATGAGCCTCAAGCTCATAAATAAATGAGAAAAAAGCCACTGGTAACAAAATCTCATCCACGTTGTAGTAAAGTTAGTGTTGGAGAAGGAAATGAACATCAGGACAAGGATAAACTAAAGAGAGGCTCGTGTAGCTTCAGTTAAAAGGAAAACTGAACTCTTTGATTAGTTTTTGAAGAAAACGGTGCAGGAATTTTGACTTCCGAAGATTGTTCTTTTCTTGAGAAGTAAAAACTTGAAGGTAAATGTTTACCATCAGCAAAGCAGCTCTGCAAACAAAGAGCTGATTCATTTCAACGATGTCGGCACCAACACACACCAGCCAAAGTTCTGCTGCGTTCTCCGCAGCGTGTCTGTGTTCATTTATGGTCCAGTGTGAGGCGTTTATTACAAAAACGTGATAATAAAGCTTTTTGATACAGATCTGAATGTGTTTATTATTTGAGCCATTATTATTTATTGAACAGCTTTTACAAAGCTTTTGTGACTCCAGTGGTTGAAACTGATTTTTATTCTGATTAAAACCAACAGAGAAAATTAGTTTTATCACCAAATGTCGAATGCTTTTTCCTTTGAGAAGTTTTAGATTTCATGTGCCCACCCTCCACCGGACCACCCCCTCGTGCTGTTGAAGCTCCTGCTAAGATGATCTTCATGTATACGCTCAGATAAAATGGGGATTAAATCTCTGCAGTGTTCGGATTGCTGCTTGGATGGGATTAACCCTCTAGATCCTTCAGTAAACTTGTTTTAAATGTGGAAGAATTCTCAAACGAGGTTAAATTTGACATGGAGACTGGTGTAGTTTTGGTCTTCACGGGGATTTGATCCAGTCAATCATCACTGGGGTTATGATGTGATGTTTCTGCTTTAAAGACAAAAAAGGCAAGTAAAACTGGATTATTTACATATTTATGGATACACAAAACTATGATTTTCTGTTGTGTTTTAAAGCTTGTTTAAAATGTCAAGTGTGGCCCGGGGGCCATTTTTGGTCACCAGAGCCTTTTTTTTTCTTTTTTTTTTTTTTGCGGCCACCATTTGGATTCCTAGAATGATGAATTTTGTCTCTCCAGTAGGCTGTTGCTTTATATCAACAGTACAGATTTAAAAAACAACTTCCATTAAAAGTCTAAACCGGCTCCTGCAATTTCACCATGTTACTATTACTCTATTTTGCAGTCTATATGATTATTGGATAGTTATCTACTAAAATTCACAACTTTTTCTGCACAAAATGCTAGCTGTTACCATTCACTTACATTGTTAATGCTGAGCTAAAGCTATCAAAATACTACCAGGTTAGGAAAGACTGGGCTGGTTACAAAATGTTTTTTCACACTCATCAAACACTGGGGAAAACTGATAAAGACTAAACTTCTTAGGGTTGGAATTATTTTGACGTTCTGAAATAGACCTGATTCTAGATGGCTGCAATGGTTAATCACTCAAATTCCAAAACCTACAGCCATAAACATCAGAACTAATTGGATCACCACCAGATGACACCAACCGGATGGCCGTCCAGGACTAGTGGGTGAAGAACTTATCACTGAATACTCACACAAACAGAGAAGGGTGTTCCAACTAAAGGGCTCAATTTTGCTGTTCCTCCACAACACATCTCACAGTTGGCGTCATCACTACCACAGAATCTGCAATAACAAACAACAACCTAAGGGAAACAGAAGCTGAAGAACTGAGGATCAAGGACAGCAGCTCTTTCTAATGCCAAGACTCCGCCTTCTGACCTGTCCCCACAAGAAAAGCCATCTCCTCCCTCAGCGAAGACCAGAACATCACAATTTTACCTGCAGACAAGGGACGTTGTACGGTTATTCTGAATACAACAGATTATCACAAGAAAGTCGCCACACTTTTGAGCGGCAGCACCACAAATGAAGTTCTAAAGAGGGACCAGACAAGTGGATACAAGAAGAAAATCAGGGACTATTTACACAAACTGCTGAAGAACAAAGTAATCCACCAAGCTTTTTACTACAGCCTCTATCCAGGAGCAGCCACCCCATGCAAGGCCGGATTAACCATAAGGGCAACTAGGCAATTGCCCAGAGGTCCACCAACTCTAAAGGGCCCAGGCCCAGGCCCAGGGCAGCAAGGGCACGAGCAAAATACTGTATCTGTAATTTCCCACTCCACCCGGACTTTTGCGCTGCACAGAGACGCTTCACTGCCTATGAATTTGAACGCCAGTCGAGAGCGGTTGAGAGTCAGTCTCATGCAGACTGACCAATGAAGAGAGAGCCTCAAGTCAAGACCCTCTCCTCATTGGTCAGTCCACACGAGGTGGGTCAAAGGTTACCCTGAGCGGGTTACGTGACGTCAGGTATTCAAGTATTGAGTATATTTACTGCATATTACAGTAAAATAATCTGTACATGACCATATTATGGTGATCCTTGGGTCGTGATGATGGGGCCCTTGAATATTGTTGCCCAGGGTATAACAAAGTGTTGATCTGGCCCTGACCCCATGTAGATATGGTCTTCTGAAGATTCACAAGGAAGGAACTCCACTCCTTCAGTAGAATCAATTCGGTCACATACAACATTGCAAAACACCTCTCCACTATCCTGGCCCCGCTGGTTGGAAAGACCCAACATCATGTAAAGAATTTGGTGGATTTTGCAAAGAAAGTTCAAGATCTCAAACTGGCCTCTGGGGAAACCGTTGTCTCATTTGATGTCACTTCACTCTTCACGTGTATACCCACAGACGAAGCAGTGGAAGCAGTTAGGAAATGGCTGGAACAAGACAATTCCTTAAACGAGTACAAAACTGACTCCAGACCAGATCTGTACCCTCCTGGACCTCTGCCTTTCTACCACCTACTTCAAGCCCAACGACAAGTTTTACCGGCAAAAACATGGATGCGTCACGGGCTCCCCTGTGTCACCTACCGTCACCAACATTTGACAGTGGAAATCAGAGCTTCGAGCTCCTACAATGGAACAACACCAAGCCACTGTTACACCCCTTCCCAGGCTAGGAGATCCTGGAAGGGGTAACACAGGTAAAACAGATCTACACCAAAGGAAATAATGAAAAAGGCGTAGCCTCTGCTTGGAAAACGGTCTTTTAAACCTAGATTGCCCCTCTACTAAAGGTAGAGGGCAAACACAAACAGGTTCTTAAACTAAATATACGGGATAGAACTAAAGGTGGTTGGTATAAAACCCAATGTAAATTAAATTAGAAAGAGATGGTTAGCAAGTGAGTAGATCTAAAGGCAGGAACTACTAGACAACGTGAGCCAGCAGGAGTTAACCTGACACAGCCAAAGCTGTTAGAGATCATAAGAGCTCATAAAGGCGCATAAAGAGCACACACACTCATTTTAGCTCATAAAAGCTCATAACACAAAGGGAACGTATCCCAGCCACCAAGTCTCTCATGAACAAAGCTCCCCTTAGCTGTGGAGAGCACCAGAGAGAATCTGACACCCTCCTCCTGAATGGGTGACAAACCCAAGTCTTTAAAGGCAGCTCATCAAGAGCTGATTTGCTCCAGCTGGGCCTGGTAGGATCTATGGAGTGTCACTCTCCAAGGTGCTGAACATGCTGAGTGTGAGCTGGAGCGCTGCTCTCCAGGGTGCTGATCCTCTGGGCATAGACAGAACGAGCCTTAAGAGACCATGAGGCCGCTGGACCTTCTCAGGATGGGACAGCAAAACCCAGGGCTCGTAACAGCCACTGGTTCAGGTATATGGATGACACATGGGTCAAAATTCTCACAAAAGAAGTGGAAGACTTAACCAAGGGCATTAATGTCATGGACAAGAACATCAAGTTCTCCAGGGAAGATGCCCACAACAACCAACTGCCCTTGTTGGACTGTGCTGTGCAAATTGAACAAGATGGAAGGCTCAGCATTGAAGTCTGCAGGAAACCAACTCACACAGAGCAGTATCTGCATTTCGACTCACTGGAGCAGAAAATGTCGGTCATGAGGACTTTACACCATCAGGCAGAGAACATTCCCACAGAGGCTGAAAGAAAACAAAAAGAAGAAAAACACATCAAGAAAGCTCTCCAGAACTGCAGATACCCTAACTGGGCCTTTGTGAAATCTACAAAGAAGTCTGGAAAAGCATCTAAAGCAGCAACCAGCAAACAAAAGGACAACAGGTGCAAAGGTACCATCATCCCTTATGTGGCAGGAGTCTCAGAGAAACTTAGAAGAATATTCTCCAAACACAACATCCCGGTAAACTTTAAACCCAACAACACCCTCAGAAACTGGTCCATCCAGAAGACAAAACACCCAAACAGAAGCTCAGTGACGTCGTTTATGCAGTCCATTGTAGCGAGGACTGTCCAGATGTTTACATCGGGAAAACTAAACAACAATTACACACAAGCATGGCACTTCACAGGAGAGCCACCTCTTCAGGTCAAGACTACTGTCCACCTACACCTGATGGACAAGGGACACACCTTTGAAGATGACAAAGTACACATTCTGGACAGAGAAGATAGATGATTTGAGAGAGGAGTAAAATAAGCTAGTTATGTCAAATGTGAAAATCCCACTTTAAATAGGGGAGGGGCTTAGATTTCACCTTTCCAGTACCAATAATGCAGCTCTGAATGTCATTCCTAAACAGTTTCAGTCCAGGTCACACCTTCCTGCATCTAATCAACACAACGACTCCCTCTCAGTCGAGGCTAAAGACTCATAAGGGGGTAGAGAGGAGGGGTATTCAGAGTAGTTTCTGCTCGTTAAATAATAATAGACAGCTACAGCTTATGAGCTTGACTCTCCCATATTCCAGTTAGAGTTGACAAAGCTCCTCAGATGAGAAGCTAAACGTCTCTTCATTAATCAGTCGGTTTTATAGATGTTCAGGTTAAATTTAGTGTTGTAGCAAAAACTCACGCACAACACAAGAGCTTCACCAGGAACCGCAAGAGTCGTCCAGGTCAAGATGGCCGTCACATCTAACCACAGCTATCACAACAATGGCCATAACACAATCAATTTAAGATATATTTGCTCTATAGTAGAGCATAAATAGCACTGCCAGTGCACAAAGATCACGGGAGGTCTGGACATGTTGTGAGATTAATTTTATTGTCATTTAATTTTTTTCACGTTTTTTTTTCAATACGTCGTCGTCGTCGTCTTCCTCCGCTTATCCGGGTCCGGGTCGCGGGGGCAGCATCCCAACTAGGGAGCTCCAGGCCGTCCTCTCCCCGGCCTTGTCCACCAGCTCCTCCGGCAGGACCCCAAGGCGTTCCCGGACCAGATTGGAGATGTAACCTCTCCAACGTGTCCTGGGTCGACCCGGGGGCCTTAAGGCGGCAGGACATGCCCGAAACACCTCCCCGGGGAGGCGTCCAGGAGGCATCCTGACCAGATAACCAAACCACCTCAACTGGCTCCTTTCGATCCGGAGGAGCAGTGGT